CTGTAAGTGAGCATGGCCTATCTTACTGTCATTTTTAGAAAACTAGAGGACAAAATCCCATATCATCTGTTTCTTGTATTTTAAGAATCAGAACCTCAGACAGAGACCTGAAGCAGAAAAAGATGCAGGAAGACCCAGTGGTGGGTGGCCAGTGCCCACCAAGAAAGGCCGCCTAGCACCCAGTGGCATCCCAGTCACATACAGGGTGCTCGGAGCAGAAAGGGTCCAAGGCAAGCATTTCCTGGCCGTTCTGGAATCTGGGGATTTTGGTCAATGAGGAAATTCACATGAAATACAGACTTTTAAAAATAAACTGTTATCTGGATTTGGCACTTAGCAAAAAAAAAAAATCCCGTTGTGGCCAGCCTGGCGGCTGGAATGTGGGGAGCTGGGCGATGACATGTTAGCAGAGACAAGTTCTTCCCCCGGGGTAGGGCTGAGGCTGTGGGACTGGTGGATGAGGTGTGATGTCATGGGCAGACTCAGCCTTGCTGTCGGAGCTCTGAGGCCTCAGAGTTAGGGCCTGTCATGTGATGCTCCATGGCCTGGGGCCTCGGGAAGCTCTTTCTCTCCTACAAGTCTGGAGACCATGTTACAGTTCTGTTCTGCCGTAAATTGCTGTCTGAGTTTTTATAAGTGGCTTGACTTCTCTGGGCCTTAGCTCTTCATTTTACAAATAAGTATTTTGTCAAATGAAAGGATTAGAATAAATCAGGACATCTTTTACTTAGAGTCCATGACTATCCATGGAGAGGCATCAGGGGCATTTTTAAACCTCCTGAAATTTTAAGAAAAAATGTGTCCATGTGAATTTTTTTTTTTAACTTTGCTAACAAAGACCCATCTAGTTAAAGCTATGGTTTTTCCAGTAGTCGTGTATGGATGTGAGAGTTGGACTCTAAAGAAAGCTGAGCACTGAAGAATTGATGCTTTTGAACCCTGGTGTTGGGGAAGACTCTTGAGAGTCCCTTGAACTTCAAGGAGATCCAACCAGTCCATCCTAAAGGAGATCAGTCCTGAATATTCATTGGAAGGACTGATGCTGAAGCTGAAGCCCCAGTACTTTGGCCACCTGATGCAAAGAACTGATTCATTGGAAAAGACCCTAATACTGGGAAAGATTGAAGGTGGGAGGAGAAGGGGACGACAGAGGATGAGATGGTTGGATGGCATCACCGACTCGATGGACATGAGCTTGAGTAAGCTCCCGGTGTGGGTGACGGACAGGGAAGCCTGGCGTGCTGCAGTCCATGGGGTCGCAAAGGGCTGGACACGACTGAGCAACTGAACTGAACTGAACTGAAAGTTAAAAACCTTTGGTTCCATGACCTCTCACCTTTTACAATTCCCCAAATACTGAGGTGCCCTCACCATTCTGCCCAGCACTATTTCTGCGTCTCTGCCAGGCCGTCTCCTCTTGCTTACCTTCCCACCGACAAGCAGACCCCTATTCCTTGAGGGTAGGGAGCTTACCCTCCCCCACTGTCCTGAGTGCAGGGCTGGGTGCCCCAAAAGGCACAGAGCAGCCGTTTCTGGGATCGTGTGGAAACCCAAGGAGGGACCCCACCCACCAGCATTTTTAGTCTTTTTCAATTCCCTAGCCACCTAGCAAGCACCTCGGCGTGCAGCAGGTTAAGCTGCGGTCAAGGGACATCTGAAGCCATACTCTTGGCCACGGAGGAGGCTCTTGTCTTCCTGGGGGCTGGGGAAGACACATGGAGGCTGGCAGAGGTAACTGCTGTGCTTGGAAACATCTTTGTTTCCAGCTGCTTATTAAATTGTCTCCTACTGCTGTTGGCCTATTTCCACTCATGTCTTTTTTTTTTTTAAATCAGCAAATGGGTTTTGATACATTAAAGCAGAATTTATGTTTCTTAATCTTATTATGGTGTAGATGTTTTCAACATGAAGCTGTCAGATAAGTGAGAGAATGTATTGTTCAGATATTCAGCCTGAGAGCGAATTTGAGGGGGGTGCAGTCTTTAATGTGCCATGGGTTCGAAAATCCCTGATGAAGAGGGTCCCCATCTCCCCCAGCCGAGGTTGGGGACAGCCTAGAGCCATGTGTCCCTCAGCAAGAATCAGGAAAGGACCCAGCCCTCCACACTTCCAAGGTTCAAATCCCTGCTCTGCTGTTTCCTATGCAAATTATGTAAACTGCTTCCTGCCTCGGTTTCCCTGTGGGTCCCATGGGAATCAGACGTCTCACTGCGTTGCTCTGAGGACTGAGTGAGTTATTCCACGTGAAGCCTTTGGAGCAGGGCCTGACATACAACCAGTGATGCCAGCATTGTTATGAATGGCGATGACCGTTCCTCCAGACATCCTGTGAGCCACGGGGCAGCTGTCAGCGGGGAGGCAGAGGGGGCGGCGTCTCGCATCCTACCTGGAATCTGTGTCGTTTTGACCCGGCTGTGAGCTAACAGTGGAGCTGCATTCTGTTATTTATAAACCGCTTCCAAATCACGTGAGATATTAATAGAGAACACTGCGTATTTGTTGGGGGAGGGGTTGCTATAAACCTTTAAAACACCGCATCTGCTGCTAACAATGCCTCCTTTTGGAGGTAATCTGGTCAGTGGCATCGCAAAAGGAACAGCAGCTGCAAAGCAAGCCATAGCCATGCTAGAGGCTATGACCCGCCTCCAGCTTCACATGCCAGCTTTCGTATGTTCACACAGATGTTACATATGCTTTGACAGGACCATCGTTCTGCCTGGATTGTCAACTGTTTAAGTATTTCTGAGACCGTAGATGGGCTCTTCGTGTGTGTGTGTGTGTGTGTGTGTGTGTGTGTGTGTGTTAAGTCGCTCAGTGGTGTCCAATTCTGTGATCCCATGGACTGCAGCCCACCAGACTCCGCTGTCCATGGAATTCTCCAGGCAAGAAGACTGGAGTGGGGTGCCATTGCGGGCTCTTCGTGTGTGATTCAGTAAATAAATCTTTTGGTTCATTCTTCCTTCTCTTTCCTACCCTGTCTCCATTCCATTTGTCACTTCCTCTTTGACCTCTGCGCTCTTGTTTTTCCCTTCCAGCCTGCACAAGCTCATTGCCAGTGTCAGCTTCTTTCCTACCACCCTGTTCTCCCGACTCAGGCTTCCTTGTCAGTTTCCCGGGGCTCCACTTCGCCTCTGCTTCCCAGCCAGTGCAGGCAGGGCTCCCATGTCGCCGCCTCCCCCAATCTGTGCCCTTTTGGGTGGGGAGATGAGGCTGGGAGGAGGTGCGTCTATGAGCCTGCGGGCAGGCAGTTGAGAACAGGACCATCTTTGCTATCTGAGCCACCGTCCCCATGCCCCCATGTGCAGCGAGACCTCCGCCGTAACCACTTGTCCCCCTGGGTGACCCTGGCAGAAATCGAAGTGTTGCCCAGGCTAGTGGCAGGGGTCTGCTTCTCCCCATCTCTCTCTTCCCCCTCCAATCCTCCCTACCCCTCTGTACTCACCCACTTTTCCAGAATCCACCATAGACTTCCTCTTCTTGGGATGTGAGGCTCCTCCTCCATCCCGTTCACCTCCTTCCTCCGTGAGGACCGGGTGGGACCCCCGGAGCACCGTGTGTTGGATCTGTAAGACCCTCACTGCTCGCACTCTTGGCACCTTGGCCAACTGGGCATTGTTCTCATGAAATGTCTTTGATTTCTGAGTAGGGCTCTTCTGAAACCTTGCAGTTTCTAGAAATTTAAACCTTAGAAAAGTAAAGCGTGTTTCCTTTTTTCCAAGAGCAGACCCAGTGGTTTATTCTGATGTTGAATGTCAGTCAACAGGCAGGAGCCCATTCATGCCTCCTGCTTTGAATGCAGCCAGACAGTGGCATTTGTTAATCATGACATGGCAGATGGTGGCATTGCCTTGGCTGATATATTCATTTCTCTGGTCCAAAGAGAAATTATATCCAAACCTGAAAAAAATCAGTGGTGATATATTACCACATGATCTATAGCTTCCATCCTTAGAAGCATGAGGAAAGCACAAGTATTTTACTTTCTCTGGCTTGTCATTTATCAATGGCAAATGCATGATGTATATTTAAACTCCCAGACCTCTGACAATTTTTTTTTTCCTGAGATTCATCTGTATCTTGTAAATAGAATCTTATCAATATTTGTGGGACAGAAAAATTCTCCAGTCTTTTCAAATGGCCACACTCTTGGTTGATTTATCGCACCTGTTGAAGAATGCCAGGCTTTTTTCCCCCACTTTGGTTTTAGCGTATCTTGTGGAACTCACAGCTCCCCATCACTCAATGTCTAGTGTGGATCCAGGTTTCCTAGTCGCCTGTCAAAGAGCTGAGGACAGCCCTATGTGTCAGGGCTGGCTGAGGGACTGGGATAAGGTCCCCTAGAAAAAATCCCACTCACCCTGATGCCACACTGGGAAATGCCCCTGCAGAGCCAGAAGCCCATCCGCAATGGGAGTGGGCATCCCGTGGGGGGAAGGGCCATCCAGGAAGGGAGATAGCCAGGAAGATAAACGCTGCCCGGGTTCCAGTCACCCACGGTCAGCCCTGCAAGTGGCTGTCACAGCCTCAAATCAGGTCGGGAGAGAAATTTGTCAGTGCTCCAGCCCAGCTTTCAGAAGGCAAGGGTAGGGGTGGCGATTGAAGTGAGATTCAATATTGAGTCCATTCAGCGGAGACCCGGGCCACTGCCCACACCAACCAGTGTGCCCCCTGGTTTTGCTGCCACTGCCTGTGGCTGCAGGGTGGGTCACAAGGAAGGTGCCAAGGTCAGGCGGGGAGAACAGTCAGGAACTGCCAGTCGTGAGAAAGGGACGAGGCCTGGTCAGCGAGCCCGCCAATCCCCTGCTGGATACAAATGCTGTACCGTGAAGGAGGATGTGGCCTTGTGCCTGCCCTGGAGGGTCTTCCCGGGCTGGGAGACCACCGATGCCAGGCTAGGAGACCACCGATGCCAGGCTAGGTGGATGCCAGGGTCCGAGTGAGGGCCTGGGGGTGGATCCTGTGAATGTCACGGTCCTGCCAGTTCACCGCCTTGACTCCAGGTACTGTGCTGGAGGCTGTGGTCTGCTTCTTCTCCGTCTGGTCCATCGTGGGGCTCTCGGGTTTCCACACGTACCTGATAAGCTCCAACCAGACCACGAACGAAGACGTAAGTTCCTGCAGGGTGGGGCACGGGTGTGTTCTTTTGTGGGAAATAAAGAAAGAAGAGGTGGGGGCGGCCAGGTCTTCCGAGTCCCCTTTCCAGATGTGAGCCCCTGGGAGCAAAGAGCCTGCGGGAGAAGCATTTTCCAACACCCATCTCCAATTTCTCTATCACAAATCATCACATTGTCCTGACCAGACCACTTAGATACTCAGAGCAGCTGACTGACCCCTAATTCCAAGGCCCAAGGTGGGCTTCTGCTCTGTTCGTTTGCAATGTTTTGGGAGCAACTTGCCACCCTGCCCCACTGAAAAAAGATGGTGCAGGCTGGCTTCTCACAGATGACGATTCCATTATATTTTGGGAGGCGACTGCCCTGACCCAAAATTTAACCTTTTGTCTAGGATTATCTGCCTGTATTTAATGCCAACATAGAGGAGATATAAAACCAGAAAACCTAACGTTGGAAAATGTTTTGTCATGACCCTGGTCCCTTCTGCTCCGAATATTTGGATTCTGACAGAAGTCTCTGTCAGTACATGAACTAAATGTCTCAGGATTAGTCAGGTTGGCTTAAAGACTCGAAAAGTCAGTGCTGATGACATGCATGAGTTCAGAGACTATTAAGACAGTTACTTGTGGTTGGTAACTAAGAGCATCAGAAATACTCTGCCGAAGTATTTAGGAGCTGAATCCAGGCTATCATGGGCAATTGGAGGAGGCACGTTACCCCATTAATGACATTACTATTTATCACGCTAAATGTGATATGAAAACTGTCAGGACATCCCTGGTGGTCCAGTGGCTAGGACTTCACCTTCCAACACAAGGGATGTGGGTTCAAGCCCTGCCCAGGGAGCTGAAATCCCACAAGCCTCATGGCCAAAAAAAACAAAACATAAAACAGAAGCACTATTGTAACAAATTCAATAAAGACTTTAAAAATGGTGTTGAAAAAAAAGATCTCCACTTGCTTATGTGAACTGGCCTTTAAGTACCAGGTTGTGGAAATAGATTATTTTCCCGAGAATGCTACTTCTCCCCCTGATCTGACCTGCTGTTTAGGGATATTTCCAAGTTTAGAGTAAATGCCAGTTGTCCTTGAGAAAAGTACCTTGGTTTCTCCTGCTGAAGAAACGAGTAAAGACCATCTCATTCTTTATGGACTTCTCACGGTCTGATTGACCCAACCTGGGGCATTGGTGTGAGGCAGACTGTGTCACTGACGGTCCTTTTCTTTCAGATTAAAGGATCCTGGTCAAATAAAAGAGGTAAAGAAAATTACAACCCCTACAGCTACGGAAACATCTTTACAAACTGCTGCGTCGCACTGTGTGGACCAATCTCTCCAAGGTAAGATTCAGACAGCATTTGCTGTCGTTCAGTCGTGTCTGACTCTTTGCGACCCCACGGACTTCAGCACTCTGGGCTTCCCTGTCCTTCACCATCTCCCAGAGCTTGCTCAAACTGATGTGCGTCACTGATGGCTCAGCTGGTAAAGAATCTGCCTGCAATGCAGGAGATCTGGGTTCAGTCCCTGGGTTGGGAAGATTCCCCCGGAGGGACTACCTACTCCAGTATTCTGTCCTGGAGAATCCCATGAACTGTATAATCCATGGGGTCACAAAGAGTCAGACATGACTGAGCGGCTTTCACTTTCACTGTGTCCACTGCATTGGTGATGCCATCCAGCCATCTCGTCCTCTGTCATCCCCTTCTCCTGCCTTCAATCTTTCCCAGCATCAGGGTCGACCCGGGGAAGCTTGTGTGTTAGCAGAGGCCTCAGGCGGCCACTGTGGAGACCACTGGCCCGGTCAGCTCTCTGCTCATGCTACGGAGACACAGCTTTAACGAAATAGAGATGTGACTTGTGTTATACTTCTTGTGTTATGCTTGGGATAACATTCCACTAATTTGTGTCAAGTTTTGGAAAATCCCCTCAGGATCAAAATAGGGAAACTGAGGCACAGAATCCCCCCCCCATAAATTATTAAGATGTTGAATGTCTGTGATGTGCAGGGGGCTGTAGAGAGGGACCCAGGACACAGTGAAGGAAGTTATTAGAAAGCCTGTAGAAGTAAGTGGTGAGAACTGAGTCATACAGAATAGATATGCTAGAATAGTTCAGAGGGAGCGATCCGTGTGGGCTGAAGGAGCTGAGACTCTGGTGATGGTGAGATGGCAGTCATGTTAATAATGGCCGTGGCTGACGTTTGTCAAATAGCATTACGCTCTGTACTAAGTGCTTTACATGGATTAACTTTTAAAACCTCACTCTGTACTTATGTGCTAAGTCGCTTAAGTTGTGTCCGACTCTTTGCAACCCCATAGCCCTCCAGGCTCCTCTGTCCATGGGATTCTCCAGGCTAGACTATTAGAGTTGGTTGCCATTTCCTTCTCCAGGGGGTCTTCCCAACCCAGGGATCCAAGCGGCATCTCTGAAGTCTCCTGCATTGGCAGGCAGGTTCTTTATCACTAGCACCACCTGGGAAGCCCTTCTGTACTTATAAGGTACTGTTACCTCCCATTATACGGAAGAGGGAACCAAAGCACACAGAGGTTAAGTAACATGCCCAAGATCACACAGCCAGTAAGTGCTGCCTCGTCAGGACCCAGACCTAGGCATCCGATATCAGAACCTGTGTGTGTCAGCTAGTACCTGCTGCCTCCCTGTCAGAACTATGCAGAACACAGTCAGCTCTAGACTTTTTGTGAGTTATGCCCAGGTATATAGACTATTTCCAGCTGATTAGCCAAACAATCATCAACAGTATTTACTGAGCAAGTTTTCCAGGTTTCTAGGATGAGTTTCCAAGCCTTCCTCTCTTTTGACCTCTAACTGTGTAAATGGAGAGAAACCACAAAGCCGCTGGTTTGTCTCAACTTTTGGCTTCCCTTATAGCTCAGTTGGTAAGGAATCCGCCTGCAATGCAGGAGACCCCAGTTGGATTCCTGGGTTGGGGAGATCTGCTGGAGAAGAGATAGGCTACCCCCTCCAGTATTCTTGGACTTCCCTTGTGGCTCAGCTGGTAAAGAATCCGCCTGCAATGTGGGAGATCTGGGTTGGGAAGATTCCCCTGGAGAAGGGAAAGGCTACCCACTCCAGTATTCTGGCCTGGAGAATTCCATGGACTGTATGGCCCACGGGGTTGCAAAGAGTCGCACACAACTGAGCGACTTTCACTTTCACTTTTCTCTATAGCTCCCTGGTCAGTCATTACTGACGTGTGCTCATGGATTGCATACTGGGTTTGATCGTCAGGGAAACTACATTAGGGAAGGAAGAGTGATCCTCTCCCCACCCCACCCCCCAAAGAATATCAAGCATATATTCCAAGGCCACTTGTTAATTGGCACTACCTTATAGTTCCTGGTGTCATTGGGTAACTGGAAATTGATCATTTTCCAGTTTGTGCCTAGAAAGCTGAGCCCAGTGTGCCACACTTGTCCTGAATTTGGGGGTGTTGGGGGACCCCCCGACCTGTCCTTCCGAGGTCTCCTCTGGGGAGTGACAGCAGAAGGAACAGCCAAGGGCTCAGATGGAAGGGCCGCCCCAGGCCGGACAGTCAGGCATGCCCAGAGGGCACCCTCTCCAAGCGAGCACTAGACTCACCCAGGAATCCCTCTTGGGGCTCTTCAGGCCAGAAAAACCCTCTGGAAATGCTTGGGTTTTCACAGTTTAACTGTTTCCTCCTGGCGTGTGTTTATTTGTGGACACTAGGGATAGGCCAGGAAACACAAAGTAGAAGAGACAAAAGAGGCCTGGACAAGCATCTTTCGTCGTCTCTAAAGTAGACCTCCGGATCTAGGAAAAGAATTCCAAAGTCTCACGTTTTGTCCAGATCGCTTTTCTTGTTCCCAAGTCTTTGATTTGCACTTGGCACCACTTGTATTGTTTATACATCAAATCTTGTCATAGCTGAAATTATTACTCCCACAACTGGATCAAATTATCTGGTTTGCCCGAGTTGGGACTGTACTCTTTCCACAATCCAAGTCCCTCTGGAGAGGGGCATTTCTCAGGACTGGCCCTCCACTCGGAAGAGCTTGGCTGCTCCAGGGTCTGTGCAGAAAGCTGGGTGCTGCCCTCTGTCATAGGTCCCTGGGCTCCCAGAGCTGGAAGTGATGAAAGGGGGGGTGCTGCTCATCTTCACTGCTCCCTTCTGTGGTCCTTGCTTCTCTCTGCCCTGCCTCACCCAACCCTGGGCCCTGAAGAGCGCCAGGGCGTCTCACCGGCATCTCAGAGAAGCCTATAGAATGAGCAGTGTCCCTCGCCTCAGACAGGTGCCAAGGACCCCCCCGTGTGCCCAGTATCCTTGCCTCAGACAGGGGCCAAGGACCCCCCGAGTGCCCCAGCCAGATGCGTCTAAAGTGTTCTCAGTGCAACAATGTGCTCACGAGGGAGGAAGCGTGTGTCTTCAGGTTTCCCCACAAGAGCCAGAGACCACGAGGACAAAGACCCACGATCTGTTACTTGCAGAGCCTCCAGGGGGGTGGGGGCAACAGGGTGGAGACAGCCAGGTTTGGGGGAAGGGATTCTCGTAATAGCAGGAAGAATGGAAGGTTGGAAAAGCAGAAAGTCCCAAGATGTGGTCAGGGTCAAGCCCTACGGGCTGGTGCTGTGGGTCAGCTGGTTGTAAGAATTCTCTTGGCCACTGTTACTGGGCTGGGGGCTGCGGATGCCCCCTAGAGAATGTCAACAAAAAGGTCCATCAAGGACAAGTCTGAGCAGTGGGAGGGGCTGTGATGGGGTCGGGGTGCAGGCCCCATGGGACATCTGGGAGGGCTTCCCAGAGAAGCAGGTGTAAGGTGCGAACCATAGGAGCAGGAGGAGCTGGGGGAAAGGAATGACAGGAGGAGAGCAGGGGCAGTATGTGCAAAGGCCCAGAGGTAAGGGGAGAGCCCGGCTTGTCAGAGGAGGAACTGGGGGAGTGATGCGGGGGGAGGGGGCAGTCCCAGGGGGCAAGCAAGGCAGAAGATGAGACGAAGGACTTCCCTGGTGTCCAGTGGTTAGAATCTACCTGCCAAAGGGGGCACAAGTTCGATCCCTGGTCCTGGTCTGGGAAGATTCCCACATCCCAGGGAGCAACTAAGCCCGTGCACTGCACCTGCTACTGAAGCCCCTGCGCACCCTAGAGCTGGTGCTGCACCCTGAGAAGTGCACACACCTCCAGGAAGAGTAGCCCCCACTTGCCGCAACTAGAGAATGCCCCCGTGGCAACGAAGACCCAGCACAGCCAAAAATAAATAAATAAAATAAATTTTTAGAGAAGAGAGAGATGAGATGGGCTTAGGGAAGCTCTCAGGGCTTTCTGAGGCTCAGAAGGAGACCTGGGCCGGGGGGCAGTGTCACAGTCCTGGGGGCATGGCTGGCCCTTGAAACAGGCTGAACACGCAGGAGGCAGGCCCAGAACCACTTTTTCTATAATCCCTCTTGTCCCTTCCGACTCTCTTGATGACCTAGTTCTTTTTCTTCTCCTGGATGAAATCCTCTACGTGTCCTTTAATTTCTCCTGTCAGTTGGAGGGGAAAAAAAAAAAGGACTCAGGGCACTTTCATTTCCTCCAAAATAGTGTCATTTCAGTGAATCAGAACTTCAAAGTTCCCTGAGAGTTAACACTTTCCACCCCTTCCTCCCTACCAGAGCTAGCTAGATTCCAACATACCTTTTGGGGGGCAATTTGACCCCCAACACGCCCCTTCCAGCCACCTTCCAGCAGCTCTCCCCCAGGGGTCATGCCCAGCCCCCGCCTGCACCTCGCCAGCCTCTGCCCTGGATCTCATCGCTGGGGGGAGCTGGGGACCCCTCTCCCCTAGATGTCCTTCTATGCCCTTTCACCTTTGATCTCTGATACCCTTGAAGGCGGCTGCACACTTGCTAAGAGAACCCCTCTGACGGTCCTGCGTGGGGTCCAGCACCTCTCTTTTGGCAGATGGAGGTTCTTGTCTTTCTTGTCTTTTTTTCCTAAACCTTTGGGGGATTTGACTGAAACTGAATCAGAGTCCCACTTGAGATCCTGCCACAAGTGTTTTTTAAGGGCTCATCAGTCTGCCTCTTGAAGACCTGAGGCGGCAGCTGTGACGATGACCCCTGTCTTCCGAGGGCAGACCTGACGCCTGCAACAGCCTTCAGCCGCCTGGCCCCTGCCCCACGAAGGGGAGTAGGCGGGCACCTGGGTGTGCTCGGGACGTCTCCCAGAGGCTGCCGGGAGTGTGCCCCCCACACCACGGGAGGCCTTGGCGGGAGCCCCACTTTCTAGCTGAACTGCCTGCACCCTTGGCAGTTCTGCCCTGAGACCCAAGGTCATCTTGGAGTCTTCAGTCGGGGAGGGAAACAGGTGACCCTTTTGATGGCAAAGTAAGCTTCACCCTTACCTCCCACCTGGGCAACCGGGCCATAGAGTAAAGACAGAAATTGCTCGGGAAACTCGTCTGCAGGAGACCGAGGACCCGGTGTTACTTGTTCAATCAGCAAGTGTCTGCTCCACACTGGGTGGCAGAGCCTGCGCTCCACGACAGGCGCACGTGGGCACAGGCGGAGCCAGCAGGCGCTGATACGATGCCTAGGGTGCCCCGGGGCGGACGAGATGAAGCCTGCCCCCCCCAGGAGCTTGGAGAAGACATGGGTGGAGATCACTGTGACCCCAGCCAACGGTGACGTGGGCCAGCAGGAGGGTCACAGGCAGGGCTGAGAGGAGCCGAGGAGGGAAGAAAGCAGATGAAGCGTCAGGAGCAGAGGCTGGGGGTCTCGAAGGACCGATAGCAGACGGGCAGGACAGTGGAGGGTCTGGGCAGTTGAGGCTGCACCAAAAAATACAGAGATGGCAAAGCAGACAGTGCACAGCGGATGTGTGGTTTCTGGTCTGTGCCACGTGGGCACAGCTGGTGCTCAGACGCGCTGCTGATGCAATGATGGATGGAAATTAAAAGAGTGTTGTCGACATTTTCAGCTTTTGATTCACTCTCTGTCTCCTGCGTTGTTCTGTTCTCTCGTAGCCTCATCGACCGAAGAGGGTACATTCAGCCCGACACCCCGCAGCCAGCCGCGCCCTCCAATGGGATGGCTGCGTATGGGGCCACACAGTCCCAGAGCGACATGGTAGGACCCGGGGCGCCCCGCGAGGGCTCCTCTCCTGCATCGGGGTTCACTGACCGGTAACAGCCGATCGCCTAGACAGCTTCCTAGGACGCACATGGCTCAGGGAGGGAAGGGAAGCTTGAAGTGAAGGCAGTGTCCACCGAAGGGTCAGCCCACCTGCAACGGGGCTGGGTGGGGGGGTCGGCTTGTTCAGGGCTGTGTGGGAGAGCACTCACACAACATTGCCTCCAGAGACGTTTTGGACTGGAAATCCCCCTCACCCGGAGCCCGGCTGCTGTCCAGGGCGAGGCAGAGCTGCCCAAGCAGGATGGGCCTCTGGAGAGTCCCCGAGTGCCCTGCTGTCCCCTTGCCACAGTCTATGCCAACTCCCCCACCCCCTCTTTAAGTGTGCAGAGGGGGACTCGGGCACCTGTTCTCCCCACTTGCAGCCCAAATCTTAATCAGCCCTGCATGCCTTAGTGCAGAGAATCAGACACGCTGTTCAGGCATTGACAGCAAGAAACGGACTGGGCTGGTCTCCGGAAAGGTGCCTGTGACGGGCATCTGTGACAGGGAGACACGTGCTTTGCTTTCACTCTGCACCTGGGAGGTGGGGCCGGGGCAGGTCTTCCCACGGGCACCTGAACTCACAGCCTGGCTGGCCTTGACCCTCAGGGCCTTCACATTCCTCAGTGGTCTGGAAGTCACGGCCTCTCCATCAGGAGCAATTCTCTCTACAGAAGTGTTTCTGGAAGGGATCCAGTGTGGCCCCCAGCACTGTCTATAGATCTGAATCACCCACAACAGAATCCATGACAGACTGGGACGGCAGATGTGTGTTCAGAAAAGAGGCAGTGACCTCCAGGACCTGGGGATGGAGTCCGTGTGGAGGCCTGGGAGCAGGGAGCCAGGAATGCCCCCTGCCTGTCAGCTTGGGGACAAGATGATCACACAAGTCACCAATGGGAAATATCAAAGGAGGTGCCAGTTAGGGGAAATCTGATCTCAGTATGTGGACTTGGGGTCCCCTCGGATGCCTGAGAGTAGGGGAGCTGTCCTGCAGGCATCTGTGTAGAAAATTCGGGGGAGGTCTGCTCCCCCATACTTAGGAAGGAATGACATGGTTTGCAGAAATTCACTTTGAAGTAGTGGAAATACGAATCTATTTTATTTATCCTAGAAGTACTCCATTTGGCATTTAAAAAGAAAAAAAACATAACACGTGTCCATGTTTATCATTGGGCTATTAATCTGATTTCATCTCACAGACTGGAAGATTATTTTTTAAAACCAACATTTATTATCCTTTGCTAACTTTCTCTTTACCTGCCCCTGCCAATTCTGCCTCCACCAGCTCAAATCAAGTTTCTCGATCTAATAGAATAAGAGAATAGTTTCCCAGAAACCAACACAATATTGTAAAAACAGTTATCCTTCAATTAAAAAATAAATAAATTTAATTATAAAAAATAAAATATAATGACTGGGGCAGGGGGAAGATAATAGAATAGGATGATTCTGAAAGACAGTGGAAGGAAAAACTTTGCAAACAGGCAGATTTAAGTAATACTGGACACGGTGGGGAAAGGCAGAGAGTGTGGGATGTAAGATCAGAGAGCCTGGGGTCACAGTGACAGACTCAGGGCTGCGTGATGTCAGCAAGTCGATTTACCCAGAGCCTTAAGTTAGTAAACCATACAATGAAGAAGCGGGTAATGATGTTCACCCCTCTCCTATCACCACTTTATAACAAAGGGCCTGGCACGCAGTAGGTTGGGGCTGGTTAAACATTCCCCTGTAGGGGCTTGCTTAAGGGAAGTTCTAAACAAATATTTAGTTTGTTCCTGTCTTCTTTTCCTCATTCCTTCCTTCCCCTGATTCCATCATATCTAGAAAAGGCTCCACCCGGAGTGTGGAAGCAGGAACTAGGAGGAAAGGAGTTCTCTTTGGTGCCGTGACATGGAGTGACGGCCTCGGTAGGCTCAAATTAACCCACAGGGCTGAGAGACAGGACACGTGCATTTTGCCCACTAGACACTGTAGGCAAAGCACCTGTGTACTTCTCTGAGGACGATGAAAAGTTTTAAGACCTGAAGAAAGAACTTATAAGCTCTGAAACACAAAAAGAAAACAGCAAAATCAAAATTAATTAATGTTTAATGTCTGCTGTTTAATGTCTGAATATGTCAACTTCATTAATTGTTAAATTTAGCTTTCATTAAAATTTCATTACCTCTTAGAAATGATTTGTAGGTTGGGTTTTTCTCACTTCGTAAGAATTCCCCAGCACACATGTAATTACAGGGAAATCATTACCAAATTATAAAGCGAGTTGCTCGTAGACAGATAAATTTAAATGTTAACTGCCTTGGGGCCCCCTGCACTTCCTGTCTCGCCTGGTGCCTGTGTTGGGAGAAACCCAGGCTTCCACCGGGCTTAAGGCTGGGAGAAGTCTTTTGGGCCCCTAAGGCTCCTACCCACTGCAGGGAATGCCCCCAGTATGTCAGAACGTGTTCAGCGGAGGCTGGATCTGAAAGGTCTTTAGGGGACTAAGATGAGACATGTTGTTCACGGCCCCACAGGTCAGAAGCCGGGGCCGGAAGGTGGGCCAGGAGGCAACCTGTGCTCAACCCAAGAGGGAAATGCCCAACACCCAGCGCTCACGGCGGGTGGGAGCGCCCACCACAGAGGTGCTCAGGCTGGGGGAGTTAGCACCCCCGGCGATGGGAGACCGAGGAGTCGGCGCTGGCGGAAGGGCTCAGGGGTCCTTCCAGCGCCAAGCTTGTCATCCCGGCTGCGGTGCCATCACTGTGCCAGATAACCTTCCATTCCTCTGTGCATTTATAGGCCATTCGGGCACTAGAGCATGAGTCTTTTTATTATTTCCATTGTTCTTTATGGCTCCTGTGGTGTATGTACCGTGTTAACGGGAGTAAGGGGAGAGGAGACAGCTCTGAATGGGCAAGGCTGGCCCCACGCAGAACACGAAGGCTGACGTGTCTCTGCCCCACCCTCCTCCCTCCAGTTCCTTCATGTTCACACGGCATAGTGTTCACCGAACCCCACACCTCAGCCGCTCAGAGCATTACCACTGCCCTTCCAAGGCTTTCATATAACTCACACTGGCCCCCTGAGGCTACTACTGATTTTATCCCCATTTTACAGACTAATAAGCAGAGGCAGAGAGGACTTCGGTCAACTTGCCCAATTCAGGCGTCACTCTTTGACCCCAGCAGTTCATGCTCTCAAGCCTACACTTTGCTACGCTGGGGCTGTCAATCCTGACTGCGTGCAGGGTGGCTTTCTCCCATATGCTTACCGACTCCACATCCCATTACCCTCAGCCTCTCTCCTCTGTCAATATCTACTCCTAGGAAAAGATCTGTTTTCAATCATCTATACATCGAAGGGAATTTAAGTCAAATTTCAGGGATATATGGATTTTAATTGTGGATGAAAGATCTTGTCCTCTATTCAGTTCAGTTCAGTTGCTCAGTCGTATCCAACTCTTTGCTACCCCATGGACTGCAGCACGCCAGGCTTCCCTGTCCATCACCAACTCCTGGAGCTTGCTCAAATGCATGTCCATCACATTGGTGATGCCATCAACCATCTCATCCTCTGTCATCCCCTTCTCCTCCCACTTTCAATCTTTCCCAACATCAGGGTCTTTTCAAATGAGTAAGTTGTTCGCATCAGGTGGCCAAAGGATTGGAGTTTCAGCTTCAGCATCAATCCTTCCAATGAATATTCAGGACTGATTTTCTTTAGGATGGATTGGTTGGATCAGCTTGTAGGTCAAGGGACTCTCAAGAGTCTTCTCCAGCACCACAGTTCAAAAGCATCAGTTCTTCAGTGCTCAGCTTTCTTTATAGTCCAACTCTCATATCCATACATGACTACTGGAAAAACCATAGCTTTGACTAGACAGACCTTTGCTGGCTAAGTAATGTCTCTGCTTTTTAATATGCTGTCTAGGTTGGTCATAACTTTTCTTCCAAGTAGCAAGCGTCTTTTAATTTCATGGCTGCAGTCACCATCTGCAGTGATTTTGGAGCCCAAGAAAATAGTCTGTCAGTGTTTCCACTGTTTCCCCATCTATTTGCCAGGAAGTAATAAGACCAGATGCCATGATCTTAGTTTTCTGAATGTTGAGCTTTAAGCCAACTTTTTCACTCTCCTCTTTCACTTTCATCAAGAGACTCTTTAGTTCTTCTTCACTTTCTGCCATAAGGGTGGTGTCATCTGCGTATCTGAGGTTATTGATATTTCTCCCAGCAATCATGATTCCAGCTTGTGCTTCATCCAGCCCAGAGTTTCTCATGATGTATTCTGCATATAAGTTAAATAAGCAGGGTGACAATATACAGCCTTGACGTACTCCTTTCCCGATTTGGAGCAGTCTGTTGTTCCATGTCCAGTTCTAACTGTTGCTTCCTGACCTGCATACAGGTTCCTCGGGTGGGAAATCCTCGTGTCCTCTATTAAAAGCTTTTTAATAGGCTCCCCTGGTGGCTCAGACTGTAAAGAACCTGCCTGCAGTGCAGGAGACCTAGGTTCAATCCCTGGTTTGGGAAGATCCCCTGGAAAAGGGAAAAGCAACCCACTCCAGTATTCTTGCCTGGAGAATTCACGGACAGAGGAGCCTGGCAGACTACAGTCCATGGGATCAAAAAGAGCTGGACACGACTGAGCGACTAACAGTTACTTCCTTACTAAAAGCATTTCAAGCAATAATAATAATAACTGAATATTTAATACAGTTTGTTCAGCAATATATCCCCATTGTCTAGACTAGTTCCTCTGGTAGTTGGAGTCAGTAAGTGTTGGTTAAATGAGAGAAGGAAAGAGAGAGAGAGATGGATTGCTATGTGCCAGGCACTGGGTTAAGCGCTTTGCATGCAGTATCATCTTGTTGAATCCTCACAGAACCACCTAATGTGAGTATTCTAATCACCCCTTTGAAGAGACTGAGATTCAGGGATGCCTAGTTTGTGAAATAGCTAACCAGTGGGTAAGCT